TGGTCTAACCTTAAACTATTTTTCTGTTAAATATAAAACTTTGAATCCTTATTGAAACAAAATAAGAACAAAATAAAGCTAAATTTCAATCGCTGTGCAGGAAAAATTGGACAAATTGAGCTTATATGATAAAAACTGCTATTCTTCGCTCACATTTCTTTTTGGATATAATAAATTTAGACTTTTTGAGGCTTAACTTCAAAATATGGATAATTTTTGTTGCTTGATAAAAGCGCCACAAGCGTTTAATTTTGTTTGGTGAAATCATTTTGGCTATCGTGTACAACAGACGAGGCAAACAATGACAGCAGATTTAAAACGAAATACGTCAATCAGAAACAGTGGATACAAAGTTGAATAAAGTATAAATTTGCTGTATCCTGGTAAGCATCAAATCTCCTCAAGACATATTTTGGCTGTTAATATTGGTCATATGTATGGTACTTGCTATCACAGGTATTTATGGACATGTATCCCTCCCCCACGAGATTTAAAAAAAAAATCATCGTAAAGATCTATTTTTTTTTATTTTCCTATTATACACATGATGAATAAGTGTAATAAATATAATTTGTGGAAAAAATGTCCATTAAACCCTGGGGTTTTATACCTAAGGTTGTATATGACAGCAACTGAATCAAACTATTATTCGATAATCAACATGTTTAAATAAGACGGTCCATTGGTGAATGTTCGTAATTTTGCTTTCAAACGATAGGGAACGAAGAATGGATATTTGGAACTGTGAAATATCAAGGAGCACACTAAAGTACCTACAAGTAAAGTATTCAAAAATAATAAAAATATTAATCATTATGTAAAAGTTTTAAGTAGTTAACTTGGTTTTTTAATAAAATTGCTAAAAGGGGCATTCCTTACGAAGCTGTTACGTTTGATGCAGACTTCAGCATAAAATTGTACACAGTAAGAGTGTTCTTGCAGATTATTGTCGCTAGCTGCGATGTTGCGATCAAAATAGCTGCAGATCTGTAGCGTTATGGTTTTATATATTTGTCTTTGACCATAACGCTACAGATCCCGTAATGCAAAAAAGGTACAATTTATGGCGCAATATTTTTTGCGCACTTTTGGGGAAAATTTCTCCACTTTCAAGCATTGGTCAATCAACTACCTTTCACTACCCAATACTTGAAATATTCGTAGCCAAAATGTATATTTTATTCACCTCCCAACCATTTATAGTTGTCTCTACAGGCAATAAACTTGCTTGAAGTGAATTTTCAACAACCTAACAAATAATTTTAATCAAGCGAGTTTATCACTTAAAGAGACGAGTATAAAGGGTTTGGGAGATGGATAAAACATACAAATTAGTTAAATAATGTGCCTAGAATAAGGGAGTGAAAGATAAATGATTGACCAATGCTAGAAAGTGGAGAAATTCTCCCCAAAGGTGCACAAAATATTTTGTGTAGATTATCGAATAATAGTTTGATTCAGTTGCTGTCGTATACAACCACAGGTACTTGTGGACAGGAACACCCCACCCCCTCCGATATAAAACCCCAGGGTTTAATGGACATTTTTTCCACAAATTATATTTATTACACTTATTCATCATGTGTATAATAGGAAAATAAAAAAAAAAAAGATCTTTACGATGATTTTTTTTTTAAAATCTCGTGGGGGAGGGATACATGTCCATAAATACCCGTGATAGCAAGTACCATACATATGACCAATATTAACAGCCAAAATATGTCTTGAGGAGATTTGATGCTTACCAGGATACAGCAAATTTATACTTTATTCAACTTTGTATCCACTGTTTCTGATTGACGTATTTCGTTTTAAATCTGCTGTCATTGTTTGCCTCGTCTGTTGTACACGATAGCCAAAATGATTTCACCAAACAAAATTAAACGCTTGTGGCGCTTTTATTAAGCAACAAAAATTATCCATATTTTGAAGTTATGCCTCAAAAAGTCTAAATTTATTATATCCAAAAAAAAATGTGAGCGAAGAATAGCAGTTTTTATCATATAAGCTCAATTTGTCCAATTTTTCCTGCACAGCGATTGAAATTTAGCTTTATTTTGTTCTTATTTTGTTTCAATAAGGATTCAAAGTTTTATATTTAACAGAAAAATAGTTTAAGGTTAGACCAAAACGGTAAACCACAAAAAGAAAGTAAATGAATGTTATAAATAGTCAAAATTATGATATCAATGAGGTCTCTGTCATAGCGATTGATTACTTTGCCGTCTGTTGTCACAGTTGCATCGGTTGTCGCAGTTGCCGGTAATAGGGTGTGATCATTAAGGCATTTTTGAATCAATCTTGCATGGATGATGCATCAATTGATGGACACTCTCAAACTTGAGCAATACGCTCGAATGTTTAAGCCTCCTCCACTCCCACGGTTCCGAGGCCTATTGCTTTTTTTTTTAGCTTTCAAACAGAGATACATGTACAAATGTACATGCATTCATTTGTATAAAGTAAACAGTTCTCCAGGTTCAGGTACCCCAAAGAGGGGAGGGTGGGATCACAATCGGTATTACAAGAGGGATGCTAAAGAACAGTATGGAAAAAGTTACTCGGGTGAGCGATATCATAGGCCCATGGGCCTCTTGTTTTTCTTTTTATTCCTCTTATAAAGTTTAAATTTTCTGGGAAAAAGAATTTCTCACCTATAACCGACCCAATAATGTGTTTTACTCTCAGTCGGGAGTGGGCAAGCAAACTAGTCTAAAGATATAGCCTCAATGTAGTTGATTAGTTTAATTGTGTGTTAAGTCATCTTCGCTAGCCGAGCGTTTCCGATCCGAAATCTACTGAGTCTCTGTGATATAGAGTAGATTTCGGATCGGAAACCCTTAGTTATAGCGAAGATGGTATGTAATATAAAACCCGAGATTAATTCAGGGTAGATCATTCATTTATTCTCTCAAAAAAACCATATACATGACAGGCACGTAGCATCGTTTTTGAAAGGGGGGGGAACCAGAGAAATGTTTTTTACTTACCTATGGTTACCTGTAAAAGTTGAGAAGCAAAAAAAAAATTCCACAAATCCTATTTCGTTGGGGCGGGGGGGGGGGGGGGGGGGTTAGTAGCCAACGTCCTTTCACTTCCAATTTCTTTGCATACAATAGTACATTTCCTTGATATCACTATACTGTGGTAAGAAGTGGGGGGCCATCCAACCTTTCAATGGACATTTTCAAAGGTAAAGGTAATGTTGGGGAGGGGGGGAAGTGGGGTCCCCCCCCCCCCCCCCCCCGTTGCTACGTGCCTGCATGGTACAAGAGGTACATATATACATATTTACAATAATTATGGCCGAGCAGAAATTACAGGAGGACAGACAGTGTCAAAATTTTTTGTGATAAATATACACAATTTTCGTAAAAATGCTGGATCTGTACTTGTCATCAAATTACAGAATTTTATTATATTTGGATGTACATTGTATTTCTGCAACAAAAAATCTTTTCGGGTACTATATAATGCAATTACATTCCAGCAAATAATGAAATTCGTCTCCTATCTGATTATTATTACATAAATTGCACACTCTTTCATTTCTTTCAATATTATTCCATCTACCCATCTCTATTGGAAGACGATGGTTACTTGTTCTGAATTTTGAGAAGATATTTCTAAATTTTCTTGGTAAAATAGTTAAGTATTTTTCACATTCAAACTTTGTTTTAAAAATTCTATATGTAATACCTTTCATGGAATTATTCATATCACTATACCATTTCTGTAAATACTGGTCTTTGAGCTTTTGGTTTACTGCGGTTAAAAATATATAAAATTGTTGAACATGTATGTAAACAACCATAAAAATCAAACAAAAGAAAAATTGAAAAAAATAAAATCCACAAATCCGAAATGATACTGGAAAATAATAAACTCTGGGCCAAAAAAAAAAAAAAAAAAAAAAAAAAAAAAAAAAAGGAAAAAATGTATATACACCTGCTGAGGAACTATATGAATTTTTTAAAGATTTAAAATAAAGAAAAAGATAATGTTAATTTTAAAAAAAAAGAACGATTTTTATTATTTTATTTATCATGAGGATATCATTTTTAGAGTTTCATTGGGATATGATATGAAGTCGGTCACGTGATCAAATTCTATAACGCCCGAAGGGCGTTATATCTGTATATAACTTCTGGTAATGTATGCTGACTTTTTGTGTAAGAATATTTCTTTGGTATTATGAGTTTATATTCAGAAATTTTTATATAAAATTATCAGTGAGATAGGTAAACTGTGGAGTCTCTGTACATATACCTTGCGTATGTCCTAAATAACTTTTATGTTCGGAGACACAATACACTGAGATACAAGCCATTCATAACTAGTCCATCTTTTAAATATTGTTTGGTTGCGCTCTTCCGACCGACTGACTAAAAATGGCTCGACTCAAAACTTTTTGTTTTTAATTCCTGGACACGATATATATTTTTTTCATTTTTATTACTCTAGCTTATTCCGTCAACAAATATTTTGAAATTATCTGGAACAAAAGATTTTCTCACCTACCTTCCGACCCAATAATTTTACCCTGAGTCGGAAAAGGGCAAGCAAACATTCTTTTAATGGTGGCCTTATGTATTTATTTTTTTAGATGATTAAATCTCAATAGGTCGGGATCGAAATGCAGACCGTTAAAAAAAATGGCTGACGATGTGGATGTAGACAGGCATGATAGTTTATACGTTTTGATATTAACCACAGACTGATTTATTTAGTGATGAAATCATAAGTAACAATATATGAACTTAAGGATAATTGTTTAAAACCTTTAAGACTTCGAAAATCCTATTTTAAAACACATAAATGTCATGTAATGTTAGTGAATCAACATGTTATAAAACCGTTACCAGCTGCGTTACACAGACTTACTGTAAAGCTGCTAAGTGCTATCAGTACCTTATCATTAGATTGGTAGAAATTATATTTATTTTGTGGATGTTTCATTTTTTCATTATGGTATATTGATTACTATTTTACTTTGACAGTGGCATTATTGAGGAACTAGAAATTCTGAAGTCTATATATATCGAGGAGCTGAGTTTGAAAACGACTGATAGGTAATAAAACAGAAACTCATTTTAGCAATTTGAATTACCAAAGGTACATTCTTTATGTTTAGTTTTTCACTGATGAAGATGAATGGACAAAAGAGGAAATTTGTCCGTATGAATTTATTTACTATGTTAATGGTGCGACCGTTAGAACAAGCGCAGATACTTATTAAGTTTTAATTTTGATCAGTTTGCTTTGTAAAGATCTGGCCCTGGAGCCATAAAACTTAGATGAGCTCACTTTTGATCTCAATCTCACTTTTCTACTATTAAATCCATTGATAAAAGTGAAACTGAGATCAAAATTAAGCTCCTCTAAGTTTTATGGCCCCAGAGCCTGATGTCACACGACATTGTATGTATGTAACATTCCTAAAGAAAATCAAGGGCAGGTAGGTTAGAATTTTTTGGAGGAGCTTATGAATAAAGGTGCCAAACATCCCTGTACTGAGTTAACCATGTGTTGTTTTCACAGTGGACACTGAACATTGCTGCCTAGTGGCAGAAAACGAACTCTCAATTTAAGCTACAGTTAATTTTTTTTAATGTATGGAATTGGCTGATTCATGATCAAATGCAGATTGGCAGAAAAACACCTGGGTGTAATTTGGGTCAATCGGGTCACAGCTAGGAAACAAGCATAATTTTTTTTAGGCCTTACCAAATTTAAGTCTGATTGGTGCAAATTTTTATCAAAATCATTTAATTTACTGTTTATCTGCTTTATATTAAAAGTGTTTAGACTCTGAATTAAAATCAAGGCAAGTTTTTATTATTTATTCTCGGTTCTTCTTCTTACCAGTAGAATGTAGTTTGCAGCAAAATGCATTTCGCTAAGGGTCATGGGACCACAGGTAACTGCAGATAAAAATTTGTTTGGAATTTGGATCAATGCGCAAATTCTGAATTTCCTCTTTGCCAAGGTGTTGTTTAATAAACTCACACTAATTACTTATAATTTGATAAAAAAATGCATGTAAAGTGTTATTATTTTGTAAATTTTGGATTTATTTGCAAAAATACAAAATTTACTATTTTTTTCTAAAGTATTGGTGTTTATTGTAATCAGATGATTAATTTTTTTTTAGTGGCTGGCCAGAAATAATCAGCCTTCAGTTGCATCCTTCCACAGGAGATGAAGTGGAAAAGAAATATGTCTGTATCACACTTGTGTTACAACCAACTCAAAGGGTAAGTTTCGTTAGTTTACAGTCAGAAATATGTCTGTATCACACTATAGTGTTACAACCAACTTATAGGGTAAGTTTACAATCAGTTGTTTATATTACCATAATGTTGCAGACAAGTCGTATAGGGTGGGATATTTTCCACAAAAAAAAAAAATCATTGCATTGTACATGTGTGAATTTTGTGTTGCTTTTACAACTCTGCTGTCAAGATTATGTAATAAAAAAAGAAAAACTCAATATTGCGCATTGTATATATACTTTCAAAAGATTGGATTTTTGAGAGTCATATTTTGGTTCAAAACTCTGTGTCTGATGTGTCTGATGTACCATTGAAGTTATATGTGGGCCAATGGCAAATTTCTCATAGAATACAAATCTGGAATGGACAACAGATTTTAGCTAAAAAAAATGTACCATTGAAGTTATATGTGAGTCAATTTTCTCCTAAATAATCTGAAAAATACAGCAGGGGCAGGGTATATGATAGAGACTGTTTTTCACTCTTTGTGCCAATAAGAGTATATTAGTTTGTGTCTAACCTGTATATTTTTTTTAATACCTTATATTGATTCTTTATATATTAATATTGAAATTCAAAACCATCCCTTTTGTTTAAGATATAAATGTCACACTTTTCAGTTCTGTGTGTCTGAGTTTCTAACAGCTGTTTATTTTCTGATTAACAGTATCCTCATGAGATTCCCAAAATTGAGATCAAGAATCCTCGTGGGGTCGGAGAGGAAGAGGTCAATAGGTCAGTAGGTTGCACATGTTGCTTTGAAGGTCATGTAAAGTCATATTGCAAATGATATAATCAAGTTAAAATATAAAAAAATCTTCCAAAATGATTTACTTGGTAGTAAAAAACAAAATTGATTTCCTTTAAAGGAGATATATTCTCTCTTAATGAATTAGACATCTTAATTGATATATATTTGACAATGAAGTCTAGGTTTTCCCCCATTGTGCTCTAGGTTGAAGTCTTCCTTGATGACCTTAGCCACAGAACTTCAGGGTGGTCCAATGTTGTACGACTTGATTGAGGTAAGTCATCAGGAAGTTTGGTGTTGATAATTCTGTTAGCAACATGACACATGCCCACAGTAGGCATGAAAATAATGATGAAATATATACAGTGAAAATTGTTTAATCCAACATGCATCACAGAGCAACTTTGTATCGGAGCAGACAGGTTTTCAAATAGAACAGTGTAAAAAAAAAAATAAAGGAAAATACCAGTAGTAGCATAAAATCAAAGGTCGGGGTTCACAGTAAACAGATTGCACAGATTCTGAATTAGAGAGTTTTCACCATAAATTTGAAGGAAATGGAATGTTATTACTTTGACATTACGGTGAATATTACGAAAACTTTATTTTCGCATAATTTCATGTAATTCTTACAGATATTTGTGATTTGGTGATCTACAATACTTATGTTTTCCAGTTGGCCAAGGATAGCCTGACAGAAGGAAACATTCCCCATTGTCCGTGCACTATCTGCTATGAACATTTTCACGAGGGGGATGAATTCACGAAGACCACCTGTTACCATTACTTTCACTGCCAGTGTTTGTCTCGCTACATCAAGCATGTGCTGGAAACCATCCAACAAGAGAACCAGTCAAAGCCCACTCATCACGTAGGAGATGATGACAGCCAAACAAAGGTCTGTGTAGAAACCGGCAGTCTGTTCAGCTTTTGTTAACGGTTTACTTTTTCATCTCTAGTGACAGGAGTAAACTGTGAAGCTCACTCATCTGTAAAACCCGTTAATGAAAAATGGAAATGAACATATTGGATTAAAGTTGTTTGATAGAAAATTAAAAAAAAAATATACGCTATAATTAAAACTTAGCAAGTGTTTCTTTGAATACAAGTAGTAAGGCTATCTGAATGTAATTCTCTGGTTGTTAGGCCAATTTTCTCCAAAATAGATTCGAGAGGGAGGCATTTTATATATCATTTTCTTGGCAATAAAGTAGATGAGGGAGATATTTTTTTTTATTTTAATTTTCAAATTTTCTTTAAAATAAAGATAATTATTTTTATTCTTAGATATACTTTCCATATAAGATCAAAAGGTTTGCTTTATCCATTGCTTATCAGCTTGTGAACATCATAGGCAATGTCTTTGAATGTATTTTCAAACGAAGTAGTCAAAATCTCTTTGCAAATGGCTACCGGAAGTGATACTTGAGTACTAAACTGTGAAAAAATTAAATGAGGACAGAATTTTTTTTCCTGATTGCTCTACACAATACCAACTTTTTATTAAAAATACAATAAAATTAGCAATGCAGCTACCTCAAAACGGATGCATGCGGGCCTGAGAACCAGAATTTCAATTTTACATAGCCTAATCCAAAAGTCTATCTATAATATTACTTTTCTAAAGCATTGATTCAGGAACTTTATTTCTTTCCTTTGTAAGAGACCTCCAACATGAATATCTTTTGTAGGTTCCGTGCCCCGTGTGTCGTGAGGAGATTGAATGTAACAGTGACCTGCTGACAAGGGAGGTAACTCCTGAGGACCAGACGCAGTCCTTTGTCCTGACTGAGGAAATGAGGAGATGGCAGGAGGAGATGAGAAGGCTCCTCCACAGACAGAGAGAGAAGGGCGGGGTCATAAATGTGGAGGAGGAGAAAAACAGATTCCTCATCACAGAGGTAAAAAAAAATTATATATAGCAGTTCCTTATCACAGAGGTAAAAAAAATTATATATAGCAGTACAGTATTGATAGAGAGAGAAAGAGAGGGAGAGAGAAGGGTGGGGTCGTAAATTTTGAGGAAAAGAAAAACAGATTCCTCATCAAAGAGGTAAGTAAATATATAGCAGTCCTCTACTGATAGAAAGAAAGAAAGAGACAGAAAAAGAAGGGGATAATCCTCACAGACAAAAAGAGAAGGGTGGGGTCATACTGAAAATTTATCAACAGTAAAAATTTCCAGATTTGTGGTATTTTTAGTTTTCCTCAAAATCTTACAGCAAGACTGCAGGTCTGTGTGGAAATTGAAAGAGGTGCAAATAAATTTTGTTTTCCTTTATGTCAGTGGTAAGAAATATTCAATGTTTTTTATCTGCATTTTGCTGAAAATAATATATTTATTATATACCCCCTTTCTAGCTAAATATAGCAGAATAAAATAGAGATCAATTGTATAATATTTATCCATAAAACAAAGCATAATAACAAGGGACTTTTTAACGCGCAAGAAAAATAACATCACTCAGTTTCAGAGAGTGGTGATACGGATTCAGAAAACCACAGTGTGGTGACCCGGAAAATCAGATCAAACTCTGCAAAATTAACAGTAACAAAAACAAGGAAATTGATGGGTATATAATAATTTGTTTTCCTTTTAGTCAGTGGTAAGAAATATTAAATGTTTTTTATCTGCTTTTTGCTGAAAATAAAATTTTTGTTCTCCTTAGGATGATGTGGTAGAAATAAGCAACACTTCCAGCAAGGGTCGGGGGAGAGAGTCCCCAATCACAAAAGACACCGGAATCGGAAGCGCCCCTAGCAAGGGTCGAGGGAGAGAGTCCCAGGCCACAAAAGACGAAGGAATCAGAAACAAGCCTAGCAAGGGTCGGGGAAGAGAATTAGTGACAAAAGTCACAGAAAGACCTGCAAAATGCAAAGACCAGGGTAAATCAAAGGTAACTGTGATATTTGTAATTCTTATTCGGGCCAATGCTCTGATCGGCAGTATGACTTTTAGGGTCTGTGTTTCTATACTTTCCTAGCAGTCACTGAGAGAGACCAGTTTTAGAGCCAGAGTCCTTGCTGAGCAGATTCAGAAGCTGGAGAAGAGAAATGAGGAAAGACATACAGGATTCTCGGAGGAGTTTGAGGTACGAAAGAGTCATAGCAGTGCTTCTAGTTCTTTTAAATTTTTTCGTTATAATAGAAAAGAAAGATTAAAAAATTCATAGATTAAATTTGTTTTCCTAAACAGATTTACGAATTGAAATGATCACCCAGGGAATGAATGTTAATAATCTGACTCTAATAGTCTGGTGTCTTACATGGTCATATGGTGCACATTTAAAATCATGTACATTAGGAATATAAAAATATTGGAGAGGTTCAAAAAAAAAATTTCAAACTGCATATATACTGGTTTCTGGCTTCTCACTGAATACTAGTAATTTACTCACAGCATATAAAACCTTTCATATTTTTTAATCTTTAAGACTTTACACCCTGACTGATAGCTATTACACATAGGTAAAGATGGCAGAAGATTTAGACTGTTGAAACAAATCATTATAAATTTTCTCTATTCCTACAGGCCTTGAATCGGATGATGACTTCAGGAGGAAGCAAAAGGGAGGGACAGAGACCAGAAAATCATCATAAAAACAGAATCAAACACTTAGTGCCTTGTGAGTTCTCTAATTTAATCCTGGATTAATTGATTTTGTGAAAGTTCTCCTGGAAACATGTTCTTAATTGAATGTATAGATCATACATGTTAACTCTATCAAATTTAGGCGGGAGTATAACAATTCTATCCAGTGTTGATCTCCCGCCTACCGATTTAATTTTGTAAATCAATATTTCCCTATTTTATATAATTTTATATTCTAAAGTATTTTTGGTTCGCTTGGGTATCCATTTTTGAAGCCACTCTATATAAATCTGAGATATCTGCGTGATTTACTTGGAAGCATACAAACGCTTTTTTTGTAACTATGTGTACATAGATTTCAAGCACGAATTTGACAACGACAACAGCACAAGATTACCAGTGATTACATTGGTTACGATAAATTTAGTTAACATCACTGCCATGAAAAAGGAAATACAGCTTTTAAGAATTAGGTTAAAACGTTTGACATTGTGCCAGCTACATACAGGTAGGTTATAATTTTATCAATAAAGTCAATAGAGATCACTCGATTGACCTACATCTGTGCACAGTCTACATTCGTTTTCAATCATCGGGGAACATCTGTGCCAGCTACATTATATAATTAAAGATAGGAACTTGTTTTACATACAGGTAGGTTATAATTAAACCATGTCATCATCTGTTTTTGAACAACTGAATGAACATGTGCCAGAACATTCAGGTAGGTTATAATCAGGGTCAAAGATACATCTTGCCAGCTAAAAGGCTAAGTTAAAACAGACAATCTGTGCCAGCAAGATACAGGTAGCATGAAAATTATTTGAATTTGTACAATTTATGTCAAACTTAAGGTGTTTCTGTCTTCTTCTTTGCAGTTGATATTATTGATTAATTATTGTAGGTTTCATTTAAGGCTATATACATGTATATTACATGATATAATATCGATAACCCAAGCGCAAAACAACGCGTGCGCAATGCTATCGCTTTTGAGGTCTGAATCTCCCTATTTTTCATCACAATAGGTTAACATGTATGGTATACATTTGTGCCAGTACATACAGGTAATTATAATTATCAGGGCTGTACTAACATCTGTGCCAGCTACATACAGGTAGGTTATAATTACAGGGTCTGACTACATCTGTGCCAGCTACATACAGGTAGGTTATAATTAAAGGGTCTGACTACATCTGTGCCAGCTACATACAGGTAGGTTATAATTAAAGGGTCTGACTACATCTGTGCCAGCTACATACAGGTAGGTTATAATTACAGGGTCTGACTACATCTGTGCCAGCTACATACAGGTAGGTTATAATTACATTGATTGTGCCAGGGTCTGACTATCTGTGCCATCTGTGATACCCATACAGTTTATAATTAATGACATGTTGTGCCAGCTTTATGATTACAGGGTCTGACTACATTTGTGCCAGCTACATACAGGTAGGTTATAATTACAGGGTCTGACTACATCTGTGCCAGCTACATACAGGTAGGTTATAATTACAGGGTCTGACTACATCTGTGCCAGCTACATACAGGTAGGTTATAATTACAGGGTCTGACTACATCTGTGCTAGCTAGATACAGGTAGGTTATAATTACAGGGTCTGACTACATCTGTGCCAGCTACATATAGGTAGGTTATAATTACAGGGTCTGACTACATCTGTGCCAGCTACATACAGGTAGGTTATAATTACAGGGTCTGACTACATCTGTGCCAGCTACATACAGGTAGGTTATAATTACAGGGTCTGACTACATCTGTGCCAGCTACATACAGGTAGGTTATAATTACAGGGTCTGACTACATCTGTGCCAGCTACATACAGGTAGGTTATAATTACAGGGTCTGACTACATCTGTGCCAGCTACATACAGGTAGGTTATAATTACAGGGTCTGACTACATCTGTGCCAGCTACATACAGGTAGGTTACAGAGTTTGTCTTCACACGGCTATTTATGCACAGTGTTTATTGATATGCTATTTAAACAGTATGTTATTGTGTAGTTACTTTGAAAAAAGTATGACATTGTCATATTTGTTAAATCAGGAATTCTCTTCAAGCCTGAAATTAACTATGTCTACCAAATATTATTTCATTTCTAAGTGCCAGATACTAGGTTATAATTTCTTACTTTTTTTCAAGCAGAATTTTTTTTAACGTTTCCAAATAATTTATTCTACCAATAAGACTCTAATAAACTTATTGTCTTAGAATCTTTAATTACTGAGTATCAAAAACTGCTAACATTGGTGGTTATGGTAACAGATAAATGTAAAGTTCTTGATGAGGAATAACTAATCTCTACTGTAGGTGGTCAGTGAGGGTGATAGGCTGGACAGGGGGCGTGTCATCACTACCCAGGGGTGTCTCCCTGAGACCATGGGGGACTTCTGGAGAATGGTCTGGCAAGAAAAGTCACAAGTCATCGTCATGGCAACCAAGGAACAGGAAGATAACAGGGTAACTAGAAAACAATGCTTTTATTACTAAAACTAGAGGTACTGTGAGCAATGAGCTCACTAAATGATGCCCTCTCCCCCCACCTCACACATGATTAAAATTGCAAGAAAATAGTTATCACACCTCTTGTGTTCTCCTACTCTGCTCTGATTCCATACTTTCAAAATATGTCAACAGATAACCATGACGTCATCATTAGAATTTAATGTTTACCGATCCTGCATATATTTAGCAAGTAATGTACATGTATAATTATAAATACATAAGAGTTATCTAGCTTAAACCCTTGTATTTTCATTCAAAGGGCGACAAAACAGTTGTAACCCTGCATGCTGGCTTGCTCTTTTTCATTGTTATCTGAAGGGTGACAACAGTTGTCACCCTGCACGTGAGGGAGACATCATGAATTGTCACACCTCACGTGACATGCTCTAAACCAGTCAGATTGACTGTATAATTTTGAAGGATAATAATAATGATTATGTCTGTTGTAACATTACTGTTTTTAGGTCAAAGAAAAATCATATTCCCCGAGGGCTTCGCCCAGGAATATGATAAAGAAAAAGTTCATGGAGGGAAAAAACTACATTCATGCAATGAATTGTTTATTATACCGAAACAAGCAAAACCTTTGAAATAAACATAAACTTTCAAATTCAGCACCTCTCTCAAATTCATTTTCATTTTTTACGTAAAGTTACTATAAAACCCTTTGTTCAACACATTATCATCAGTTTTGTGACGTAAACCAGGCTATTGTGACGTTTACTTCTCTCGGGAGTTTTCGTTCAACGAACAGGAACTATATTGCGGGAAAATACACTAGGTGTTCCGAAGAGGTGGAATATGATGAAAAGCATGCCGACGGCCGGGAAATATGAAGTTTTACGGCCCGATCACGTGATATTTTGTCTGTTGTGACATTACTGTTTTTAGGTCAAAGTCGCATGTTATTGGTGTGATGCAGGGAAAGAAAAAGTTGTGGAGGGAAAAAACTACAAGTTCTTTATCAAGGGTAAAGCCGTCACTACACATAAAGACTACACCCTCAGGGAGATGGTGGTGTCCAAGTGTTCAACCGCAGACGCAGTGAGTTGTCCGTAAAAATACAGATATGCTCTATAGTTCTTTCTTAAGAGAATAGAAGATGTAGCAATCTGCTTTGCCCTATAGATAGAGGGGACCAGGTTAGTGTACCAGTTTAATTACATGGTGTGGCCAGATTTTGGAGTACCCAGAAACCCCAGCAGTATCATCCACTTCCTGGAAACGGTTAACATCAAACAAGAGGAACTATCAGAAGCTGGTCCTATGATCATCCATTGTAGGTCAGTGTAGAAATCATCCAGTCAATGAAGAAATCAGATAGAATATATGTTGGGTCCCTGAAAAATCAATCAATCAGCTGTAGGGTATGAAACATTTCGTTCTTTTATTATCAGAGTAAACAATGGAAGTCATTTTACAGTGAAGTTCTTCTCTACAATACTGATGGAAAAGTTAGAATGTCTATTTATAATAAAGTTTATTCTTGTCTACTCTGATGATTTATTACTCAGATTTGATGGGAATGCTTGTGAATTGATTTGATTTTCTTTGCAGTGCTGGTATTGGCCGGACAGGGACTCTTGTTGTCATAGAAACACTTATTTGGCAAATTAAACAACAAGGTAAGAAGAAGTTAATAAAGGAAAAAAACATTTATTATTTCCTTGGCCTTGTGTGGTGACTACTGTTTTAGTTGATTGTGTATAATCGTTCATCACGATATCCTTGTAGGTTTAGACTGTAACCTTGACATTCAGAAGTCTGTTCTCAAGATCAGATCCCAGAGACCTGGAATGGTACAGACGGAGTCCCAGTATAAGTTTATTTACAGAGCTGTTCTGTGTTACCTGCAGTCTCAGCCAGGATACACGCCTGAGCAGGTGAGAAAATAATAAATTTTGTGTCTCAGGTGAGACATTGACTGTTTCTTAAAATTTTCTGTCACCAATGTTTTTTTGTTTCTCACTTTAGATCAAAAGAAATTTTGATTGATTGTATTTGAATACAATTGAAAATTTGTCTCTGTAATACATTGTATATATACATGTATCGACATAAATGTCAATGATCTAATCATTTTCTGATGTAAATTTAATTTGCTTTCAAAGAATTTGTTCATTTTCTTTTTATTTTATCCAGTCCAGTAAAGAGGCATCTCCCAAATCAAGCACAAACTTATGTGACACTGAAAAGCCACAGAATGAGAAGTTCTTACGAAGGGAGCCGAGAGGTCGGGGTCGGGGTAAACAGTTTGGCTGGAGTGATAACAGAGTGGACAAAAATAGGAACGACAAGGATACAGAAAACTCTCATCAGCAAAAACAGGAGGATAAAGTCGTTAAACACTCAGCTGACTTCAACCATTCAGAAACTTTAGATAAGGAAGATATACCAGTGAAGGATCTATCTGTACAAAATCAGGAGAGGAAGGGATTTGGTAGACCCCAGTCATCAAAAGTGATGGAGAAAAACGGAGCAGAGCAAAACCACACAGAGAAAATAAAACTAGAGGAACAGATTTCATCTTCTAAAAAGGCACAGGATGGCCATGATGACTCTAGAGTGGAGAAAATTCAGGAGAGGAAACCAAAACAAGGGTTTGGGAGACCCAGATCAGGACAACAAGGAAGGTATGATAAAAGTCACAGACAGACAAACAGGCAGGATTCATCAAAAGATGAGTCAAGTTATGACCAGGAAGGTCATGATGAGGAAGATAATGATTTGAAGGGGTCGGATAAACAGATGGGAAATAGGAAAGGATTTGGAAAGCCACCAGTAATGGAGAGAAGTGAGGATGTTAAAGAAAGAGATGAGAAATCAGTAAGAAAGGACTATACAAGGAGAGGATTCGGAAAGCCTTCAAAAGATTCAAACAGAGGCGATGGAAGGAAGGACAAAAATAAAACCTGGGAGGACAGGGAACAAGAAAGACCAAGGTCCAGTGGTGGCCAGAGAGAATATTGCAGGAATAGTCCTAGAGAGAAGGAACAGCTACAAGGCTCAGCTAACACACAGAAAGAATACCGCAGAAATAGTCCTAGAGAGAAAGGTTCAGCTAAAACCCAAAGACCTTCAGGTGGTTCCAGGGACAGAGGAAAAACAGCAAACCAGGAGGGCAGGACTAAAGTTAAATCTGATAATGAACTTATAGAAACAGAAGCTAGTGAAGGAAAATCTGACAGAGATTTAAAGGAAAACTTCTCAGAGGCAGGTGGAAACCAAAAACAACAACCAGAGAAGAAATTAAGTAAACCACCAGGTTTTAATATAAGTGAGGCTGATACTGACCCAAAACGACAACCCCCTGAGAAATTGAGGACACCCCCAAGTTTTAATCTCAGTGGGCCCCCTTCATTTAGACCCCCTCCAGGATTTTCCAAATGTAGCTGATACTAGCTTTAATTAGGTTTTGATAATTGATGTAAAACTGTGATATTATTTATTTTAGCAATTTTCTTGGAAATGTTTCATATGATTTGTTGTAAGTGAATGTTTAATGAAGCTTTTGATCATGCAATAAAAATTTAGAGGCATTATATCAAAGTACACATTGAATCTGAGGGAAATATTAGGTAGGTGTACATTTTATTGAAGATTTTAATTGACGCAAGATAAGTCAACAGCTCTTTCAAAATATCTCATATATATATGGCATCATATACTGTGAAAGGTAAATATTTTAGATTTTCAAAGTTGATGGTCAACATTATGTGTTGGACCATAGCTAATAATTTTTGCTAAATGAAGTAACAGACTTCATGATTTTGGTCAAATGAACACACTTTTAAAATATTCTGTCCATTAGATGTAACTTGTACAGAAAAGCTCTTAAATGGAAAGAGTGAACATCCTTGATATTGTTTCCCAGAGTTTTATTGTTTACTCACCCATTTCAAAGGTTCAATTTGGCTGTTTTGATGGAGAGGTGCTGGTTGTCTATCGTTAGTCTGTCATTCATTCATTCATTCAAAGGGATAACTATAAGATAATCACATAAACCAAGCTAATTCAGACAATCTGTGTACCCCTCTTAAGGAAAAAGAAGAGCATATGCAGATCTCTGGGATTGAGGGCGGGGGTAACTTTAAAAAGGGCTGAGGAGGCCATAGGGAGTAATAGTCAAAAATTAAATAGCAAAAAACTCTGAAGTTTCTTCAGATATTGCCCCGAATCAGAAGTTTTACAATCAGACAGGATGTATGAATTTACAAGCATGGCCATTGGTTTCAAAATAAATAGGGGTCTTTCTTGGGTCCATAGGTAGTTGTGGTATAAGATTTAACTTGAAAAGATTAAAGGCTTCTCAGGGAAACAAAAATGTTCAAACAGACAGAATTATGACCTTGACCTTTAACATTTAAATCAATAGGGGGTCTTCCTTAGGTAATAGAGAGTTGTGAAAAATTCCTTTGCAAAAGCTTGAGATTTCACTCAGTTACATGCAGACAGACCGAAATTAATATCTTCCACTTACAGTGAAAGCAGGGGAACACCAAAATATTGTGTTGTCATTTAGAAATCATAAGAACCTCTGGACAAGGAATTAGAAAACTTTCATGAAAGCTTCCTTGTTTATTAGTTTCTTAATGTAAGCACAGCAGCAGGCCTATTATTAGTAAATATGAGAGATTCCTTATATAGTGCCAAATGGATAACAACAGGTGTCCTAATTTCTAACCATTCAAATCATTATAGACTGTGGAACATTGAAGAAATGAAGTAAAATGTATTAAAGATTATCAGGGGTATAGTTATCAGTCTAAGTGTTGAGTCCAACACAGATGACATCAGTGGGACAATCCATGACATCAGAGGGACAATCCAAAACAATGGAGGCAACACTGATGACAACAGAGGTACAATCCACTACAATGGAGGCAACACTGATGATATCAGAGGGACAATCCACTACAATGGAGGCAACACTGATGACATCAGAGGGACAATCCACTACAATGGAGGTAACACTGATGACATCAGAGGGACAGCACACTACAATGGAGGCAACACTGATGACATCAGAGGGACAATCTACTTCAATGGAGGCAACACTGATGACATCAGAGGGACAATCCACTACAATGGAGGTAGCACTGATCATATCAGAGGGACAATCCACTACAATTGAGGTAACACTGATGACATCAGAGGAACAACACACTACAATGTAGGTAACACTGATGACATCAGAGGGACAATCCACTACAATGGAGGCAACACTGGTGACATTAGAGAGACAAGCCACTACAATGGAGGCAACATTGATGACATCAGAGGGACAATACACTACAATGGAGGCAACACTGATGACATCAGAGGGACAATCCACATCAATGGAGGCAACACTGGTGACATTAGAGGGACAATACACCACAATGGAGGTGACACTGATGACATTGGAGGGACAATCCACTACAATGGAGGCAACACTGATGATATCAGAAGGATAATCCACTACAATGGAGGCAACACTGATGACATAAAGGGACAATCCACTACAATGGAGGCAACATTGATGACATCAGAGGGACAATACACTACAGTTGAGGCAACACTGATGACATCAGAGGGACAATCCACTACAATGGAGGCAACACTGATGACATCAGAGGGACAATCCACTACAATGGAGGCAACACTGATGACATCAGAGGGACATAACACTACAATGGAGGCAACGTTGATGACATCAGAGGGACAATACACTACAAATGAGGCAACACTGATGACATCAGAGGGACAATCCACTACAATGGAGGCAACACTGATGACATCAGAGGGACAATACATCAGAGGGACAATACACTTCAATGGAGGCAACACTGGTGACATAAGAGGGACAATACACTACAATGGAGGCAACACTCATGACATCAGAGGGACATAACACAGTACAATGGAGGCAACACTGACATGACATCAGAGGGACAATACACTACAATGGAGGCAACATTGATGACATCAGAGGGACAATCCACTACAATGGAGGCAACACTGATGACATCAGAGGGACAATACACTTCAATGGAGGCAACACTGGTGACATTAGAGGGACAATACACTACAATGGAGGCAACACTAATGACATCAGAGGGACATAACACTACAATGGAGGCAACACTGATGACATCAGAGGGTCATAACACTACAGTGGAGGCAACACTGATGACATCAGAGGGACATAACACTACAATGGAGGCAACACTAATGACATCAGAGGGACAAAACACTACAATGGAGGCAACATTAATGACATCAGAGGGACAATCCACTACAATGGAGGCAACACTAATGACATCAGAGGTAAAATCCACTACAAATGGAGGTAACACTGATGACATCAGAGGGACAATCCACTACAATGGAGGCAACACTGATGACATCAGAGGGACAATCCACTACAATGTAGGCAACACTGATGACATCAGAGGGAAAATACAGTACAATGGTGGCAACACTGATGACATCAGAGGGACAATACACTACAATGGAGGTGACACTGATGACATCAGAAAGACAATACACTACAATGGAGGTAACACTGATGACATCAGAGGGACAACACACTACAATGGAGGCAACACTGATGACATCAGAGGGACAATCCACTACAATGGAGGCAACACTGATGACATCAGAGGGACAATCCACTACAATGGTGGTAACACTGATGACATCAGAGGAACAACACACTACAATGTAGGTAACACTGATGATATCAGAGGGACTTTCCACTACAATGGAGGCAACACTGGTGACATTAGAGAGACAAGCCATTACAATGGAGGCAACGTTGATGACATCAGAGGGACAATACACTACAATGGAGGCAACACTGATGACATCAGAGGGACAATCCACATCAATGGAGGCAACACTGGTGACATTAGAGGGACAATACACTACAATGGAGGTGACACTGATGACATTGGAGGGACAATCCACTACAATGGAGGCAACATTGATGATATCAGAAGGATTATCCACTACAATGGAGGCAACACTGATGACATCAGAGGGACAATCCACTACAATGGAGGCAACATTGATGACATCAGAGGGACAATACACTACAGTTGAGGCAACACTGATGACATCAGAGGGACAATCCACTACAATGGAGGCAACACTGATGACATCAGAGGGACATAACACTACAATGGAGGCAACGTTGATGACATCAGAGGGACAATACACTACAATGGAGGCAACACTGATGACATCAGAGGGACAATCCACTACAATGGAGGCAACACTGATGACATCAGAGGGACAATACACTTCAATGGAGGCAACACTGGTGACATTAGAGGGATAATACACTACAATGGAGGCAACAATAATGACATCAGAGGGACATAACACTACAATGGAGGCAACACTGATGACATCAGAGGGTCATAACACTACAGTGGAGGCAACACTGATGACATCAGAGGGACAATCCACTACAATGGAGGCAACACTGATGACATCAGTGGGACAATACGCTACAATGGAGATAACACTGATGACATCAGAGGGACAACCCACTACAATGGAGGCAACACTAATGACATCAGAGGGACAATACACTACAATGGAGGCAACAATAATGACAACAGAGGGACAATACACGACAATGGAGGAAACACTGATGACATCAGAGGTAAAATCCACTACAATGGAAGCAATACTGATGACATCAGAAGGACAATCCACTATAAAGGAGGTAACACTGATGACATCAGAGGGACAATCCACTACAATGGAGGCAACACTGATGACATCAGAGGGACAATCCACTACAATGGAGGCAACACTGATGACATCAGAGGGACAACCCACTACAATGGAGGCAACACTAATGATATCAGAAGGATAATCCACTACAATGGAGGCAACACTGATGACATCAGAGGGACAATCCACTACAATGAAGGCAACACTGATGACATCAGATGACAATCCACTACAATGGAGGCAACACTGGTGACATTAGAGAGACAATCCACTACAATGGAGGGAAAACTGATGACGTCAGAGGGACAATCCACAACATTGGAGGCAATACTGATGACGTCAGAGGGACAATCCACTACAATGGAGGCAACACTGATGACATCAGAGGGACAATCCACTACAATAGAGGCAACACTGATGACATTAGAGGGACAAGCCACTACAATGGAGGCAACACTGATGACATCAGAGGGACAATCCACTACAATGGAGGCAACACTGGTGACATTAGAGAGACAATCCACTACAATGGAGGTAAAACTGATGACGTCAGAGGGACAATCCACAACATTGGAGGCAATACTGGTGACATTAGAGAGACAATCCACTACAATTGAGGGAAAACTGATGACGTCAGAGGGACAATCCACAACATTGGAGGAAATGCTGATGACGTCAGAGGGACAATCCACTACAATGGAGGCAACACTGATAACATCAGAGGGACAATCCACTACAATGGAGGCAACACTGATGACATCAGAGGGACAATACACTACAATGGAGGCAACATTGATGACATCAGAGGGACAATACAGTACAATGGAGGCAACACTGATGACATCAGAGGGACAATCCACTACAATGAAGGTAACAATAATGACATCAGAGGGACAACACACTACAATGGAGGCAACACTGATGACATCAGAGGGATAATACACTACAATGGAAGCAACACTGATGACATCAGAGGGACAACACACTACAATGGAGGCAACACTGATGACATCAGAGGGACAATCCACTACAATGGAGGTAACACTGATGACATCAGAGGGACAATCCAAGGTAACACTGAAGCCAACAAAGTCTCCCTCCAAGCAACAATCAATCTACATTGCCTGACACAGATAAGACCAAAACAAGGACCTGAAATTTTGCATTATTAACTTTTCCTAGAATTTTAGAATTTTATGATTTAAAGCCTTATATTATCAAAAATTGTAAAATGCAAGAACCCAATATACATAAACTAAAAATTAATAATTCATAGCTTATTTGAAATATCAACCTGTCTGTTACAGCTGTGTGCCAAAAGTGAAGATAATTTTATTTTTTTCTTTATATATTTCATTGAAAACAGTATTTTGTAAAATCGCTGGTATGACAACATTTCTTGAAAGATTTTATCAAAAATTTCTTGATATTCCAAGAAATTGTTGCAGTTAAAAAAAACAATAGTTTTTATCTGATAAGCATTGATATTTTTAAAATATTGTAATATAAGTGTGACATGAATTTTTAAGTCATATACTCACAATGAATTATAAAGTCAACATTGATTTTGAATTTTAGAACTGATGTTTAATGATGAACTATATTTTACTACATATTAAACGTGTAATGATCTTTCAAAGAAAGATATCTACACATTTTCTGGTTTAAGTACTGAAATAAATAATTAAATTGGACAAAAATTGACCATATACCTATGATTTTACAAAATGTTGTTTTCAATGAAATATATAGAGAAAAAATAAAATTATCTTCACTTTTGGCACGCTACTGTACATGAAACTTATGGAGATAAATAACAGTATTCAAGATCAAAAATCCATTAAACAATATACAAAAACACGGACCTCCAAAACATTGGGGATGGGATCAGGTGCCAAGAGTAAGCATTCACTGCCGACCGGTCACACCCGCCGTGTGCTCCTTGCATGATCGGGAAATAACGAAAAAATCCGTCATCAATTCAGTGTATAAATAATGGACTAACAATTAGTATGAAAAATGTCAGTCAAAATGTATATGTATATTTTCTACCAATATCAATAGGATGGTCTGTTCTCGAACCTTTTGCTTGACCCACGGTATTTTATACAGATATGACATTGTGATATACGTTTTATTTGTTTATGTACCTCATGTACGTATATCATTTACATGTACATGGTTTTGAGAGAATAAATTGCATGCAAGTCGAAAACATGCAAGTTTCTTAGTTAAGGTACAAAAATGATTGTAACATTGGAAATTATACTAGTACATCAAGGTTTTATTTTCTCTATTGCCTTGTCGTTTAGAAAACAATACAACCTATTTACAATGTAATTTGAAGAAAGAATATAAAATTTTATATCTCTTTAGGATTATGATATTTTCCCACGATTTTCCCCGTACACTCGGTGTACGTTGTTATATATACAAGTACTTGTTGTTGGATGTGAAGGACCTTTTGACAGCTTTTTTTCGTCAATTGACATAAAAATAATGACTGGTGCATGAAGTCAACTATTCTCCTGAGAGAAGTGGACAGGCTTTTGCCTACGTGGATGTAGGAGAAAGTCTGTCCACTTCTTTAATGAGAAAAGAAATCAAAAAGCAGTTCTGGCGTTCATGAAAGCTACTAGTTTAAACAAGCCAAGTTTCATAGGCATATGACCTACCTAGTTTGCATGGACACTTCTAAGTTATTGATGTTAATCCTTACATATTTATATTTTATTCAACTAAATGCTATATAATGTAGTTAAATATACGCATTTTGAGGAAAATAATTAAATTAATCATACGAAAACGGCTCTTTCAAACCTTTTTTTTAGACAACGAAACCACCCTTAGACTATCCGAGAAAATTTCGGAATCTGGAATTTTGTTTTTAAGCTATCAGCAACTAGAGGTACTGTGAGCAATGAACTCACTAAATGATACCCCCGCCTCCCATATGTATAAAATGGCAGTGTCCATGTTTTGCTATGAAACTCAAAATATGTTTCGGATCAAAAAGTAAAATAGTAGGTGCACAATGGCAATATGTAATAAAGATTCTGTGAAAGTTTCATCAAATTTCTTTCAGTAATATGAGAGATGATGCGGATAAG